AGCAGTGTGTTTCAGTCCGTCTGCCTGTTCTGTTCCCCACTCTGTCTCTGGTGAGTCCTCTCACCCTCCTGCACATCTGGCCTTACCCCGGTTCTTGTATGCATGAATAAATAAATCTTAAAAAAAAAAAGTTGCTTTCCAGTTTATTTCCAAAAAACTCTTCAGCATCACATGATCTCATCACATCAGGTTCGAGTTCTCTCCGGAGGCAGATCCTTTGCACTTCTCCATACTGCCTACTGCACCAGCATTTCACTTGCTAGAATTTTCCATGCTGGCATTATTAGGTGATTGCCAACTGTGTGACTTTTATTCCTCTGCACAACAGGTTTTGCTACCAAATACCTTGCTCTTTGAGCCTTCTTACTCAGCGTTACTGTAGGAGCAGGGCAGATAAAGATTCATTGTGGATTCTGGCAAACAGATACAGGAATCTTGGGGTTCATGGTAGATTCGATAGGCCTTTTTCTGTTTTTTAAAAGATTTATTTATTTATGCATACAAGAACTGGGGTATGAAGTGTGGGCCAGAAGTGTGGGGGGATTCACCAGAAACAGAGTGGGGAGCAGAACAGGCAGATCTACTGAAATACACTGCGGAGGGGAGCAGCAGGCAAGGCAGGAGAGGTCTGCTTTGCCATGTAGGTCAGCTTCCTGGCCGGGGATCGAACTCATGCTGCAGTGGCTGGTAATAGCTTGATAGTGCTGTGTCTTTAACCTCTGCGCCACCAGGAAGGCCCTGACAGACCTTTAATGCTGAAGCAGGGGACCAGGTACACAGGCAGCAAACAAGCCTCCCAGCTCCCCGGGTTTCCATGCTGCCTCTGGCTTCTCTCTGGCGTTTCTTCTCTCCTGATCCCATAATGATCCCCTCCCCGGGCATCCCTGCTGACAGGCACACACACCCTCACCGTGCTCTCCAGGTTCCTGCCGGTGTCTGTATTCATCGCCACGAACGCCCTGCGCCCATTCCTCGCGGTCCTGGTCCCAGGTGCCCGTGCGTGCCCCGAGCTCCAGCTCCCAAGTGCTTTTTGCACCAATGACATCACCTGTGGGCAACAAAACCTGGAAGGCAAGCAAGGACGCAGGTGGTGACTGCAGAGGCGAAGAAGCCTGAGTCACTCCATTTTCCTTGCAGTTACCTTTCAAGTGAAAACCTAATCTATTTGTTTTGAGACACCAATAGATCAGAATGAGCCCATTCACTTGTCAAACGGCTGTGATTTGTAGTTAGGTTCTTTTCAGTTTGACCAAAGCCAACGCAATGTTTGTAAATTGCAGTTTCTTATCACTAACCCTACCGGGTTTGCCTACAGTCCTCTTCCATGTCACACCTCGTAATAAAAAATCACCTCATTCAACCGTTAGACACATTTGTAAAACAGAAAATGCTAACAAGATCTTATTAGAGGGCCTCCCCGGTGGCGCAGTGGTTGAGCGCTGGGTTGCGATGCTGACTGTGGCCTCTGCGGCGCCGGTTCGATCCCCGGCTGTTCCCCGGCCACCGGAGGAGGGTCCCGCATGGCGCGCAGACCTCTCCTGCCGCCCGCTGCTCCCCTCAGCAGTGGACTTCGGTCCTTCTGCCTGCGCTGCTCCCCGCTCTGGCTCTGGTGGATTCTCTCACCCTCCCACGCTTCTGACTGTGCCCAGTGCATGTATAAACAGAACAAACAAACAAACAAATAAATAAATAAAACATGCCTCTATTTAAAAAAAAAAAAAAGATCTTATTAGAAGGGTACAATAAATAACTAAAGAAGAAACTGGCAAAAAATATTCAATCTTCACGCAAAAGTCACTTCTAACATGCATAATTCATGTTTTTTTAGTGTTTACAACAGCAAAGTGGTGGGAAAGCCGCTGACTCACAGCAGGTGAAAATGATTTCTTTGGAAGATCTGCTGTCAGACCATCGAGTTCCTTTGCTCCAGTAAGTCAGGCCCCAGTGCGGGGGCAGGGGCGGGGGGGGGGGCAGGCAGGGAGGAACCCAGGAGGGTGATGCTGACTCCTCCATCTTTGCCCCTCCCCTCCAGGAATAAGGACAATGTTCACACATGGCCAGCAGACTTCCTGCTCTCACACGGAAGACCATGAAAGGACTCACCACGAACACAGGCCCGCTGGCACTGTCAATGGGCTGCTTGTTTCTCAGGCTGCTTGTTACTGTCGGTCGCTGAAGGCCCTGCGAACCAGCACACAGCGCGTGAAGATCAGAAATAATGCTGCTTTTTTATATAGTCACAATACAGAACCCTGGGGCGAGGAGGGTTTCAAGGCCCAGTCCATGGCCCTGAGACCGCTGGCTGGAAACTGCCCGAGAGAGTGCTGCCCTGTGGTGTCCACACCCCAGCCCACAGCAAGGGGGAAACAAGGTGCACGTGCCCCCTGCTGTAATCCATGCCCCCAAGCTCTCACACCACTTCTGCCCTCACCCTGTGGCCACACCTCACTGCAAGGCAGGATTGGGAAATCTCTAATTGGGGGGCCATGTGCCCAGGAAGAAGAGAACGCATTTGTGGAACGACAAGTCATTCTACCAGAGCCTGTCCATGTCCGCCGCTGGCAACAGTGAGTTCCTTGAGAGCAGGAATTCTGGGTCTGTCACCACGGAGAACCTGGCACCCAGCGCCACCGTCTTGCCTGTGACGAAGCTCTCAGGAAGTGGCTATGGCCAAAGTGGCCACAGGGAAGCTTCGAGAGGACAGAATTCGGCGTACAGGAAAAACTTGGCACTGAATTGCAGCAGAGAGATGGGAAGACTTGGTGTTTAAGGGAGCAGACCTTGGAGTTGGCCTAATTTGAAGTTCTTATTTAAAGACAAGTTGGGGGGGCCTCCCCGGTGGCGCAGCGGTTGAGCGCTGGGTTGCGAAGCTGCCCGCAGCCTCTGCAGCGCCGGTTCGATCCCCGGCTGCTCCCCGGCCACCAGAGGAGGGTCCCACATGGCGTACAGACCTCTCCTGCCGCCCGCTGCTCCCCTCAGCAGTGTGCTTCGGTCCTTCTGCCTGCTCTGCTCCCCGCTCTGGCTCTGGTGAATTCTCTCACCCTCCCATGCTTCTGACTGTACCCAGTGCATGTATAAACAAACAAACAAACAAACAAATAAATAAATAAATAAAACATGCCTCTATTAAAAAAAATAAATAAATAAAGACAAGTGGGGAAGAGGATGCTGGTGCCCCTGGGTGGTGCTCACAGCTGACAGGCGGAGCTTTCCAGGCGCCACCCCCAGCGAAGCAGGCGCTGAGGAGAAATTTGGTGGAGCTGGGGCTTTAGCACTTAAACTGCTCCTGAGGAGGTGTGTCTGGGGCAGCCTGAGCTGCCATGTGTGGCTGCGACTTGAACTTTGCCTTCTGCTCAGTGAATCCTCTCTGGATAGAATAGGTGGTATCTAGTCACATGCCAATAAATTCTGTCTCTCTCTCTCTCTCCCTCCCCGCTCAGCTCTCCCCTTTCTTATTCCCTGTGTAAATAAATCCTGTTGTTAATGCTCCCCATGCGTCTGCATTCGCATGGTGTCCTGTGTTCTTAAGTATGTGGAAGAGGACTCACAACTCAGGTCACCCCCACGTTTCCCTCAGAGCTGACCTGTAACATTTATTCACTCACACTGAGCCATAGCACCTTCGTCTATAAAATGGGGATAAAAAATCCATCACACCGGATTATCATGAGAATTAAGTTATGTATAAAGTAGGTTTCGAATAAATAATGGCTCAATACTTTTATTTTAGTAATAACCCAAGAGGGGTTTCCATCACTGTCGTGATCAAGGAGAGAATAATAACATGTACTGTATTGTTACTATAAACTTCACATATCTTAGCTTTTTTATTATCCTCATTTTACAGAGAACGAAACAGAGACATAGGAAGATTAAGCAACTAGTCCAAGGTCACACACTTGCTTAAAATGGAGCCAAGGAGGTTTAACGCCAAGGAGGTTTAACGCCAAGGTCAACTGTTTTTTAGATCAGACTGGTGACTGGACCACTTGGCCTCTTAAAGTTTTGTTTCTTTTTTTAATTTATTTATACAAGAACTGGGGTACAGGCCAGAGGCACGGGAGGGTGAGAGAATTTACCAGAGACAGAGCCAGGAGCAGAACAGGCAGATTGACCGAAATACACTGCTGAGGGGAGCAGCGGGCAAGATAGGAGAGGTCTGCTGTGCCATGAGGGCTGCTCCCTGGCTGGACAGGAATCGAACCCATGCTGCAGAGGCTGCGGACAGCTTCACAACGCTGCACTCAACCCCCTGCTCCACCAGGGAGGCCCTTAAAGTTCTTTCTAACAATAAACAAATCAACTGCTGGGTTCAGTGATGACACCTGGAAATTCTTCATCCAGCCCTGCCATTAACCTGCTGGGTCACCTTGAGCCAATCCCTTTCCTTTTCTTGACCTCACTTTATAATAAGGACTTTAGGTACAATGATCCTTGACTCCTAGGAGGAAGCACTTGGGATTTATGCCTGGGAAGGTGTCTGATAATGATGTCATAGTGAGGAGAATTCCGTGAGAAGAGTCAAGCTTTTCTAGGGAAGCTTTTCTAGCTCCCCAGCTTAGGTAAGAAGGACAAGCCAGGAAGGGGTCTGTTGGGTCCTGGACTTGAGTTCTCCTTCTTCTAGGATTCTTAGATAGTCATGGATCAACCCTCAATCACAGAAAAGGCTCAAGATGAGGCAGACACCAATAACTTGGCTGTGTTCTCTCACCCCCACTCATCAACCCCACACCAAAGACAAGGCCACAGAGGAGGCCAACATCATGAGCCCCAGCAGCATGGTGCACCCCATCACCGTGAGGAGTTCCACCATCATGGGTCCCAGTACCACGGTGACCTAAATGACAATATCTTCTCCCACCACACCCAGCACTCCCATCACCCCCACCACCATGAGGCCCACCATCATGGTAGAACCCCCCATGCCACATCCTTTGCCTTGACTCCTGCCCATGGCACTGCCCTCTCCCACCGTTCCCAAGATCAGAAGTACTCTAATGATGAGCGCGACCAGAGCAGCAGGAGACATCACGATAGGCACCCCCACCACGCTGAGGCCCACCACCACGCTGGACACCCCCACCACACTGAGGCCCACCATCACGCTGGACCCTCCCACCACACTGGGGCCCACCATCACGCTGGACACCCCCACCATGCTGAGGCCCGCCACCACGCTGGACCCCACCACCACGCTGAGGCTGACCACGATGATGGACCCCACCGTCACGGTGGATCCCCCCACCATGCTGAGGCCCACGACCACGCTGGCCCCCACGACCACGCTGAGGCCCGCCACCACGCTGCCCTCCCCCACCACGCTGAGGCCCGCCACCACGCTGGCCCCCCCCACCACGCTGAAGCCCGCCACCACGCTGGCCCCCCCCACCACGCTGAGGCCCGCCACCACGCCGGCCCCCCCCACCACACTGAGGCCCGCCGCCACGCTGAGGCCGACCACAATGATGGACCCTACCACCACGGTAGACCCCACCACCATGCTGAGACCCACCACCATGCTGAGACCCACCACCATGCTGAGACCCACCACCACGGTGGACACCATCACCAAGATGAACTTCACTACTATAAAGAGTCCTACCTCCCTAGTGACCGTCATCACCGCCAAGAGGCTTATTATGAGGGTGGGCCTCATCACTATCCTCCCCAATATGGTGGATACCATCATCATGAAGCCTATCACAGAAGATATCCATATCACGGGGAGACTGATCTCAACCTGCCGTATATGGATCCCTACCAGCATGGCACCCCTCGATACCACGATCACTACAGGGAGCAACACCATGGGGAACACCATTATATTCCACATTATTCTGATTACCTCCACCATGGCCACTATGGGGAGCGCTATCCTGTTCCCTCTCAAGCCTTCAGCTCATATAAGCCCTACGGCATGACCAGGGCCTACCGAGCCTCCACCCATTCTACTAAAGGAGTCAAAGCACACCCAAAGAGTTCAGCTTTCAGCTTGGTTCATTCCTCGAGTACAACTCACTCACACGTCTCTCAGAGCTCCAGTAAAGTCTATTCTCAGGAGTTCTCGAAGTCTACGGAAGACTGGACTTCAGACGAGCAATATCAGAAGCGCAAAAGTAAGTCTTTACTCTCCTTCACCCTCCTCTGACCCCTCAATTCTCATTTCCTGGTCCATATTCCAGACATGACCCAGGGCTTTCTGCAGGTCATGAGGACTGATCCCCATCCACAGGTACTTTCCACTGGCTCCTCACTCACCCGACTACTCCTCACTTTACCTTCTGGTCCTTGAATTATGTACCTCTTCAGGCCATCTGTTGTCTTTTTATTCAGCCACTGCTTTTTTTTTTTTTTTTTTAATTCCCGTTTCCCTCTTGGACATTTGCTCTGGTCTGACGTGGGCGCCTTTCCTTCCTGGGCTCTGGTGGTACATGAAGATGAACCCTGTCCCCAAGGGACTCCAAAGCTGGGGGTGGTGACTTATACAACCAGTGCCACAATATCCAGGGCTGGAGGCCTGTCCTCATATCAGAACAGCTACCGTGGTGGATTCTACTCTATTCCATTCCCTCCACTAAGCTGTGAACTTCTTGAAGACAGAGCCTAGGAGCCAGCATCTGAACAAGAGCCTTATTTGAGGGCAGGGAAGCTGTTAATGCAGAACTCCCCAAACTCAGCTAGTAGTTTAGAAAACCTGGCAACCTTCTCATGAACAGGCCCACAGTGTGTAGAGAGGAGTGGATCTCTAGTTGGATGGGGGTAGGGAAAGCAGTAGAGGGGAGGAGATGTTTCAGCAGAATCTTAGAAGGAGAGAAAAAGAGTTTACCAAGAGAATGGGGTGGTAAGGGGATGGGTTTCCCGTGTATAAATTGTCATGTAAGTGAAGAAAGGCAAAATGTGTAGGAGTGTGAGCCCTCAGAATGCGCTCAAGTAGACCCCAAATCCCAGATGTGCTGGCATGGGCCATGCAAGGGGTCAGGCCTGGGCCCTGAAGGCACCACTGAGGCACCTTAATAAGTGAATGGCAGACATGAACCCCACTCCAGCCTGGGCAGGTGTCTGGGATCCCCAGGGCTTTCTCCCACACGGACATGACTTTCTGATTCCCTTACAGACATCCTGATGAAGAGGAGTCATAAGAAGCACTCTACGGGCTTCTGCCATTGGTTGTGGGAAAAATTAAGTGGCATGTTTCAGGAACTCCGGTACGTGCTCAGAAATCTGACTGAGTCCCTGACCTTTGACGTCTTCATCATTTTCATCATCTTCCTCAACACTATCATGCTCGTGGCCCAGACTTTTGCTGAAGTTGAGGTCCGGGGAGGTAAGAACTGGGAGTCTCAGTTCATGTGGAGAAGGCCACTGATGTTCTAGACCTCCCGCGTCTCCAGTGCTGGGTGATTTACACGACTGAGTGCATTTGCACCTGGCCCCTAGGGAGTAAATGACATTGCCTAGCACTAGGGATGAGGGGGGAGGGAGAAGAGAAAGGAAGGAGGAGGAGGGAGGGAGAGGGAGAGAGGAAGAGAGGGAGGAATAAGCTGAGGTGGACCCATCAGCTCCAGCCAGGAAGCCTGGCTGAATAGGAGGGGGTGCTGTTGGAGACCACAGCCACCAGGTGGCACCCCTGTTCTAAATATGCCACCTTGGCAGGAAGGGTCTGGGGGGCTTGACGGGAGGCTGCAAGTGCCAGGAGACCCTGAGAGGGCTGCGCGGGACAGGTGGGCCAGGGAGGGAGTCCTTAAGATCCTGGGTGGCAGGGCAAAGGGAAGGATCTGTCACGGGGCACATAATTAAGCAGAGGAGAAGAGCACCCGAAGCGTCTTGCAGATCTGCTGCCGCAGGCCCCTGTCTGAACACTGCACTGCCTTAAACGCGCACGTGGTGCTCCTGACAGCGGGATCAGGCAGCTTGTGATCACCCTTTCAGACAGGCACAGAGCGGGCATGGCACACATTGGCCAGGGCAGAGCCCAATCTCCTAAATGGCTGTGAGTTGCAGTGTGTGGCGGGGAGATGCGGGGCGGGGCGGGGAGATGCCCTGAGCAAGCCCCTGTGCCCACAGAGTGGTACTTCTTGGCCTTGGACTCCATTTTCCTCTGCATCTACCTGGTAGAAGCTGTGCTCAAGATCATCGTCCAGGGCTTCAAGTATTTTTTTGACTCCTGGAACAAACTGGGTGGGTGGGATGGTGTGTGTGTGCACGTGTGTGTGAGAGAGAACACCTGGGGGAGGATCAGAACAAAAGGGGAAGGGGCAGGGGGTGTTGCTGTTGGGAGGGCTGGGGGGCAGGGCCAGGGCCTGGCAGAAGCCCTTTAGACACCCCTGTGCCCTCAGACTTCCTCATCGTGATCATGGCCCTGCTGGATTTCTTGCTCCTGCAATTCGAGGCCTTCTCCACTCGCTCTATCTACAACCAAAGCATCTTCCGGATCCTCAAGGTCTTCAAGAGCCTGAGGGCTCTGAGGGCCTTCCGGGTCCTACGGAGGCTCAGGTCAGCTGGGCCACAGCTGCCCACCCTGGTGTGAGGACTCTGAAGGAGGAGAGGGGGTGTGGGCCGGGATGAGGGAGGCTGCCTCTGGCAGACCTCCTGCCTGAGCTGGGGCTAGACCCCTTATTTTCCAGAAAGGGCTGGGACTCCCCCAAGTCATTAGCAAATCTGGGAGGGAGCTCCTGCCTTGGGGTGAGCTCAGGCAGCTACACTGGAGCCCACCCCACGGATTGAGCCTAGCTCTCCACCTCTGCCCACAGATTCCTGACCAGTCTCCAGGAAGTGGCCGGGACCCTGGCCCGCTCCTTGCCATCCATCACGGCCATCCTCATCCTCATGTTTACCTGCCTCTGTATCCAGTGCCCTGGGGTGACGGCGGTGGGGGGGGCGGGGGGAGGGGGCAGAGCAGAAGGAGCGGGGAGGGCCCCGTGAGCCTGGTTTCTCCCTGAGCAAGCAGTCCTCTTCTCCGTGGTGCTCCGGGCGCTCTTCCACCAGTTCGACCGCAAGCGCTTCCAGGACATCTTCACCACCATCTTCACCCTCTTCACCTTGCTCACCCTGGATGACTGGTCCCTCATCTACCTGGACAGCCGGGCCAAGGGTGGGTGCAGGGCAGGGGAGCTGGCTGGGGGCAGACTGAGGGCTCCATTCCCCGATCTTCTGATACTGGTGGTGGGGCCGCCAAGGAACTCGCAGCCAACGGCCTGCTCTCTCCAGGCGCCTGGTATATCATCCCCATCCTCATGGTCTACATCGTCATCCAGTACTTCATCTTCCTCAAGTGAGGCCCCGCCCGCCCACTCTGCTCCCCCAACTGACCCCGAGGCCCCCTTCCCCAGCCCTGGCTCCTTATTCCTGCCGGGAAGAACCCAGAGGAGGGTGCGGGGCCTCTCCTCCGCCCTCCCCGCTGAGAGCACCTCCGTGGGCCCGCAGCCTGGTCATCGCTGTCCTGGTGGACAACTTCCAGATGGCGCTGCTCAAGGGCCTGGAGAAAGTGAAGCAGGAGGTAGGGTGGGGGGAGCCCGCAGGGGAGGCACAGGGGGGAGCACGCGGCCTCATCAGGAAACCGGGGGTGAGGGGGGGTTGGAGGGCAGGGAGTGGGCACCCAGTGGGCAGGGTGGCAGACACTGGACTCCGGCAGGACTGAGGCCTCCTCTTTCCAGAAGGCCGCCCAGATCCACGAGAGGCTGCTGGAAGACTCCATGACAGAGTTCAGCAGAGCAGGTAGCACCGCTGCTCTCTGCTCGCAGGCCCGGAACCCCAGCTCTGTCTGGGGTTTTGGAATCTGAGGGTTGGGAGGACTTCCAGGGCCTGGACTGCTAACAACGTCCTCCAGATGCCCATTCAGAGCCGCCTGCTCTACGGGAGCCTTTGGCGACGAGACTGGTGGGCCAGGGGGTGGCTCAGCAGACGCTGGTTCTTGTCAAGGACGCAGCGGGCCCAGCAGCTGGTCTCACCCGGGATGCCTCGCCTGTGGAGGGTGTGTCGAGACACTGCACACTTGTCCAGAGTCACTCAGAGTGGGTGTCGAGGCTACAAGATCAGGTCTCCTGTTCCTGGTCGTTGGGGCACCAAGGACTTTCGGGGAGGGTTGGTTTTTGAGCCAACTGCTTTCTTCCTGTTCTAAAACCTTTGGAACTTGAGAATCCGGACAGACGCCCGCTCTTAGGAGGACCCACCCCCAAGGCCCAAGGGTGGTCCCTCCCCGGCCTCCACCGGGGACGCCGTGCAGAAAAAAGAATTACTCAGTTCAAATTATTTAGTGCGCCACATGTGCGAGGGCTTCTGGGAAGGAGCGGGGCAGGACTCCCCGGGCGGAGGGTCAGGATTCCGTCTCCTTCCATGTCTGCTCGGACCCCCTGGCTGCCTTTGTTCTTGCACGGCTCTCCCCTTGTGGCGGGAAAGCGACCCCCCCACCACTTCCAGCCCCGAGGTTCTCTTCCCCCAGCAGCTACCAGCAGGCCCCAGAAGCGGGTCCCTTTTGAACCCACTGAACCCTCCGGCCAAAGCTGGGCTGTTCTGATCGGCCGGGCGCAGGCCGCATGTCCTCGGAGCCCGGAGTGGGACCAGCCCCCTAGACCTCGTGGACATAAGAGGCTGGACACTGGGAGGCTCACCAGAAGAGGGCATGGATGCTGGGCAGGCAGACGAACACAGCTCCGCCCCACACCAGAGCCGGGGTGCTCTCGCCTTGGGGGTGTCTGTCCTGGATAAAAATGCACTCAGCCCCCATCTGACCTTGGCCATGGCACACAGGTTCCTACACCTGCTCTCATCCAGGCCTTGTCTTGACACCCCCCCTTCTTTCTCTGCACCCAGAGCCTGAAGTGGTGTTGGGTGAGCTCATGCGACAGAGGCAGCTCCTGGAGAAGAACCTCGGATCCCTGACTGAGAAGTAAGGAGGCGTGAGAGGGGAGGCTCAGGACTTGGGGGCCAGTCCAGGGGCCTGGACCTTGAGCTGGCGGAAGGGGGACACTGCCTACCTCTCTACAAGGGGGGTGCAGCACCATGGTCATGCGGAGCCTGTGGGTGGTTCCTGGATACCGTGCACCTCTTGTGCCCACCCCGCAAGATCTGGGGCCTCAAGAGAATCCCACCAGTGGCACCCATGGCCACAAGAGCACCTCCACGGCCAGGGCCAGGGAAGGGGCAGCAGAAAGGTCGCGGGGAAAGAAAAACTCGACTTATCCAGAAGCATCGAGACCCTTGCTCTGGGCCAGGCCCTGCAAGACTCCAGGGTCCCACAGGGGACACAGATGACTAACCCCTGAGGCCCCTGCTCTAGGCCATGAGTGGGCTTCTACAGCGTGGAGGGAGGAGGAGGCTGGGACAGGGAAACTGCTCAAGCAAAGGCCTAGAGTCAGCACTGCATTCCTGTCAACTTGAGTGGCCTGTGGCCCCAACAGCAGGGACATGTGGCCGTGATTCTGGCCGGGACTCCCTGGCCCAGCCTCCTTCCTGCTGCCTGGTTCTCGGGCCTGGCTCCCTGAAGAGCCTTCCGGACCCACCCTTCTGGACCCCAGAAACTGGACCCACCCCACCTGGCCCTGACTGCAGACAGGGGCTGACGACCCTCACCTGGCTGTCCACCAGGGGAGCCCAGTCTCCAAGGCCCTTCCTGATCCTGGATCACTGCAGCCACCCCCACTGCCCCCATGACGTCACCCACACTCTCCCCCAAGCATAGCACTCTGCTCCACCTCCTGGCCCTTGCTCACACTGCTCTCTCTGCCTGGAATGTTCTCTGGCTGCCCAGCCAGGCTCCAGTGACCAAGAGCTGGCGAGCCGGGTTCCCCAGGCAGTTGGCTTCCGCTCCTGGCTGCGCTCTCCACCAACCACCACAATACAGCTCTTTGCCCACCGGCCTCGCCTGGGCCCTTGGCCTCTCTGAGATATTGTCCTTGGGGTCTTCTGGCTTCCAAGCTCTTCCCTGCTCCCCACCTCAGGAAGCACAGTCCTTGGTAAATGTGGTTTAGGCTTCTCCCTCCTCCCCTGAGTTTCAAGCCCTCCACCGGCACCAGCCTTAGGAAAAGTTCTAGGGGCCTCCTCCTCCAGGCCGACCACTCGCTAAAACCTTCCCAGAGGCAGCTGCATCCCCCCCTCCTGGACTGAGCGCCGAGCCTGAGACCCTCCCTGCTCTCAAACTCAGCTCAGTGGCACTTCCTCCGGAAGTCCTTCCTGGTTCCCGGGCGGGGATGGGCAGGGGGGGTTTCCTCCGGGGCCCCTCTGGGCCCTGGGTTACACATCACAAGTGTAAACAACTTGGTTTGCTTTTCTGGCCACAGAATGAGCCTCCCGGGGACAGGGTCTTTCTTGCTTTTACGTCCAGGTCACCTCGCTGCATCCTGACTGGCCGCGGGCGCTGGTTGATGGATGGGCGGATGGGCTGATACGAAGGGTGGGGGGTGGGGGTCGGATGGCTAGAAAGGTGAAGGAGCTAACGTGTGGGTAGCAGCTGGCGAATGGGTGGGCATTTAGGTGGGGGGTGGGCGGCATAGCTGTTGAAGGGCTGGCTGGGTGGGTCTAGGGAAGAGCAGGTGGCTGGAAGGAAGGTGAGGGAGTGAGGGGCAGGGTGGAGGGTGGCCATCGTGTGAGTGGACGATTAAGAAGATGGGAAGATGCCTGGGGAGGCGGTTGGGTGGGTGCAGGGAGAAGCTGGGTGGCCGGAGGGTCGAGCAGCTGGGTGGAGGCATGGGTGGATGGACGAAGGGATGAGAGATTGGAACTTTCTTGGGACAGGCAGACGTGGGGCTTTCCTAGTACAGAAAAGGAGACAAGACTGTGAAGGGTCACGGTCAGGAAGCTGTGGCTGGGCCTGGAGGCCTAGGGTGAGGCAGGGTGTGGACAAGGGTCTGGGAGCCCGGAGGCCCAGCCGAGCGGGTGGGCCCAGCTTTGCCCCGGCCCCCGCCACAGGCAGCAGGAGCTCCTGTTCCAGTTCCTGCAGCTGACGGCCGCGGTGGAGCACCACCAGCAGAAGTTCCGCTCCCAGGCCTCTGTCATTGACGAGATTGTTGACACTGCGTTTGAGGTGAACCAGGCGGGACCACAGGGAGGCGGAGGGGGCACTGGCAGGCCAGGCGGGGTACCCAGAAGAGGCCCTGGGTTGCATGGGCATTGAGAAGCCTGCGGCTGGCTCCCTCACGTCCTGTCCCCCACCTCAGGCTGGAGAAGAGGACTTCAGAAAGTGACCCCCGAAGAGGGACCCAATCCAGACCTCAGCCTCAGGGCCGCCCCCTGGGGTGGGGCGGGCAATGATGGTCTGGCCCGCAGGTGGGCTCCAACAGAGTTTTCAAACTCCCGATGACTCTGTCCTCATTGGTTGGGTCCAGGCCCAGCGCGAGGGTACTTGGGCACGTGTGTGCGTGTGTGTGTGTGGCGTTCATGTCTGTGTGTGCGTGCAAGCGAGGGTCTGCACACACTGTGTGGTGCGGGTGGGCGCAGGCACTCTTCCTGGCCCCGCCAGCCCCACTGACCAGCCGAGCTGGGCTCGGAAGTGCGGTAGCAGCAGCCAGAGGGCTGCTGTGGGGACGAGGCCGGCTGCCCTGCGATCAGAGAGAAAATGAAAAAGGCTGGGACCTGGGGGATCAGTAACTCCAAAAACAGGGGCTAGAGCCGCGGAGCTCAGGTCTACAGGGTTCCTCAGCAACCAGAACGGTGGTGCCCACAGATGGAGACAGCACCCAGAGGCCAGAAGCGATCCCCTGCCTGCCTGGGGTCAGGGTCTCAGTGATGGGAGGCAGGTGGAGCCTAGTCCCAGGCCTTCTGGCCTTGGGGTGAGGGTGAGAGGTGAGAGGAAGACAGGACAAAGTTGGGGAGTGGGAGGGGGGGCTGAGGGACAGAGGCGTGGGTGGGGGCAGGGGTGTGTGTTGGGTGATGGAGGAGCCTGCTGGGAGGGGAGAAGCAGGAATGAGACGGGCGCCTCCCCCACCTGGTCCAGAGCCCCGCGCCCACAGCAGGGGTGTGGTGGGGCACTGACCCAGGACACCGATGCCTGGGCCTGGGTTGGGTGTTAGAGACGTAGCCCTGGGTCAGGGCCCGGCCCTGGTCCTGGGGTTCCCCATGTAGCAGGGGGTCTTCCACTGCCGAGGGGACCACCTCATTTCTAGAAGCATGAAGACAGGGTGGCAGGCAGCTTGGAGGGAGTTCGGAGTGGGAGCCTGGAGCAGGGACTGAGGGGTGACAGGCGGCTTTGTCAGTCACACCCCTACCACTAGGCTGGACTAGACAGTGGGGAAGCCTCCAGACCTCAGGACAGAGGCAGCCCCGCCCCGCTCCCGCCTGGCCAGGGGTGCTGGCTGCTGGAGGCCCAGAAGCAGACTGGCAAGGGAAGTGTCATCTGGGATTTGGGCACAGATGCCGAGGGTAGAGGACACACCCCGTCACCTCACACATTCACTCAACAAGTATTTTCTGCCACCTACCTGGTGCCTGGTCCAGGCGGAGGCTCCTGCCGGTGGCCCACGGGACAGGAACCCTTCCCAGCAGCAGCCGCGCAGCAGCCCTGGGCCGTGAGCGCTGCCGCGGCCTGAGCGGTGAAGGCTGGCGGCTCACCCTGCTCCAAGACCCTGCCGAAGCCCTGCTCAGCCCAGAGTCCCTGTGGGGGAAACCTCTATTCTCACCTCCCCTCCCCGCTCACCCACCCCGGAAGGCCGCAGACAGGAGCCTTGGGCAGGAGAACAGAGAGGCCCCAGGGAGGTGTGGGGCCGCGCTGGGGCCCTGGGCGGGGCTGGTCCATGCCTCCTACTCCCTAGGGATCCGGGAAGCAGTCACTGCCCATCCAGTCCAGGTGTGGGTGTGGCCTGTGTGTGAGGGGTGGCTCTGGGTGGCTCTGGGCTGGTCTTTGGGCTGTTGGGGTTGTGTGTATGTTGGGGGTACAGACATCTCCAGGGTGCATGTCTGGGGGCGGGGGCGGGGCTGCCTTTGTTTGTATCCGTGCTTCTGGGTTGCTAGGTTGTGTGGGGTTGTGTTTTTCTGGACGTGTGTGGTGTGGAGCACCTGAGTGTGTGTGGTGGGTTTCTCTGTGTCTGGTGTGCTGAGGCATTTTGGGTGTGTGTGTGTGTGTGTGTAGCAAACACGAATATGTGAATGCCGCTGTAAATTCAGGGGTGTGATAAATGTTGCAACCGTTTTATTTGAATGACCTCTAAACCAAATGTGTCCCCTTATCTCCACTGCGGGGAGGGGGCGGGGAAGACTTGGAGTCGGTCTGTCCCCTTGGGACTCCCTATTCTGCCCCTAGGTCTTCCGACCAGGGCAAAGATGGGGAAGGCCTCTGGCTACTCGAGAGACCATGGCCCCCTGGTCCTTGGCCTGCAGGGACTCTGTCTTGGGGTCACAGGCAGGCAGAGAAGTCTCAGCTGGGAGTTCAGTGTTTTGGGACACAGCCAGCTGAAGCCATCAGCCATCTGAGTCATCCCGGCAGCTGAAGGAGCAGAGCACCCCGACTCCGGCCTGCTCAGTCCTGGAGTGTCACCCCTCTCCAGAGAATGTCCCTGGCCCCTTAACTCAGACTATTGGAGCCTCTGGCAGTCTGCTCCACCGTGTCTGTGATGCCGGGTGTCTGGGGATTCCAGATTTGGGGGCTGAACCTTGCACACTCGGCGCTGTTTGGACTGAGGAAGCAGCAGCTCAGCTGGAGAGGGAGGCAGGGGCTTGGGTGCTGCCAGGGGCGGGAGCAGGAGAGCGAGGGTGAATGAAGGACTGGGAAGAGACCAGTGCAACATGCAGTGCTAGCAATTTATTGTGACAGATTTGGCCCGTGGGGCCATTAGTGTCCCCCACCCTCTCACCCACCCTGCTCTTCCGTCCCCTCCTCCTGCTCCGTGCCGGAAGGGGTCTACATGGGCACACAGTTGTGCTTCAGAAGGCGGGAGGAGTTCTCCCAGGGAACCACCAGGACCTCAAAGTCACAGTGCAGCTTCTGCAGAGAGAATTCAGGGAGAGAGAGTGGGTGAGCTGGGCCCTGGTCCTGCCTCCTCTCAACTCTGCCCGCCGCTCCAAGTGAGACAGGCAGTCACCGGCAACGTGCATGGCGTCAGGCAGCCCAGACTAGATCCCAGATCTTTCTAGTCAACTCCCTCACAACAGAGGGAAACCCCAGTCTTCTCCTTTCTGCACCCCACCCTCGCGGGGAGGAGGGGGGCTGAGTCATCCAAAAGGCAGGGACAGGTTTGGCCGGATCAGTTCAGGCTGGACAACCTGAGGGCCGTGGATGCTGGGGCAGGGTTGGGGGTGCAGGGTCATTACCTCCTGCTCCCCATCTGCAGCCAGAGGGCAGGTGGTGAGGTCTACATGGTCTCCAAACACCGCAGTCTTCCGGCAGGCTGTGCTCCCCATCTCCAGGGTCAGGTAGTACTTGATCCCAGCCACCAGCTGGGGAGGAAAGGCAGGGCCAGGTCAGGGGTGCCAGGAGCCAAGCCTGGATGGAACCTCTCCCCGGTCTCCTTATCTCCCTTTCCCTCCCAACTGGACACATTCAGTTCGCTGGCTGGGGACTCAGGCCTGGGGCTGGGGCACCCTGATGGAATCCCTGGGGAGAGGGACAGAGGGATGCAGGAGGATGAGACCCCAGTGCACACTCCTGAAGGCCACTGGCCCACCCCCCACTCCAGGCCCGGGGTGGGGGGCTAGTGGGGGCTGGGAAGGTGGCTGTGCAAGTTCAGCTTAAAATGTGGATGTTTTGCGCATCCTGGGCTTGGGGCATGCATTCAATTGTTAGAAATAAATTGTATTGAAAGATCCCCATGACTAGGTGCCCCCATAACCTGGGGCAGGCAGTGCCTCCCCCGCCAGTCCCCTGGCCCCTGGCTGCCGGGTCGCACCTGGCTCTGTGCCTTGATGATGTTGGTGTCTCTGAAGTAGTAGAGGCTGTTGCTGCCCATGTTGTAGCTGGCCACGGCCGCCTGCGCCGCCTTCTGCACCTGCGGGTCGCTGGGCAACAGGTCCTGAAGGCCTCCGACCAGGTGCTCTGGGGGCCGGGCGCGGGCATCGCGGGGCAGCGCCAGCAGGCAGAGCGCGAGCAGGGCCAGGCCCATCGCCAGAGGGAGGCTTGGACGCGCCATGGTCGTCGGTGCCTGAGCGCTCGGGGCGCGCGGCTTTTAAGGGCTCTGCGGAGGGCCCGGCCCGGCCCCGCCCCGCCCCGCGCCCCCGCGGCCCGGGAGGGATCGCTGGGCCGGGCGGGGCCGCCAGGCCGCCTTCCCAGGGCCTCGAGCCCAACAAGGCCGAGGGGGCAGCACACCTGGGCGCCAGGAAGCTGCTTCGCCCCAGCACACGCCCAGCCTGTCTGCGGGGGCAGTGACAGTCCCCGACCACAAGCGCTGCCATTTGGGCGGTTCCCGGACGCCCACCCGGGAGGAAATGCCAACCACAGCTAGGACGACCCTTACGGGCCCCACGGCCCCTAGCTGTGTCACCTGGGAAAAGTTACTCAAACTCCTCCTGCCTCAGTGTCCCCCTCTGTAAAGTGCGCTGGGAGGATCCGGCACATACAGCGCCCAAGGAGGCCGGTGCAGTGTAAAGCAGGTGACTGGGAGACACCGCGGCTGAGCTGGTTTAATCCACCCAAGCCCCGTGGGACTGACTTATGTCCCCACAGTAACAGAGGAGGCAGGCTGCCACCCCAAGGACACCTGCAGTGGTATCGATGGTGACGGGGGGTGGCTGAGCCCTGTCTAACCTAGAACTGTGTTTCCAGACCAGACTAGATGCGAAGGACAGTAACCGGCCAGGAAGGCCGTGACATGCCAACCCTGCCATTTCCTGACTGGGCGGGGGGGGCAAGTGCCTCCACCTCCCAGGGCCTCGCTGCCTTCATCCAAGGAACGGCCCCTGCCTGGGGCACCCCTGGTACCGGGCTTGTGTCCGCGGTACCAGCAGGATGGGTCACTACGACTCTGGGGGCTAATGTGATCCCTGACACACGGAAGACAGCACTGAAGCAGTTGCCACGGAAGAAGCTGGCACTTGGTTGGGATCCTTTCTCTGTGGAGTTCTGTGCGGTTTTTTGTTTTGTTTATTTCTGCATACAAGAACTGGGGTGCAGGTCAGAGGCGTGGGTGGTGAGAGGATTCACCAGAGACAGAATGGGGAGCAGAACAGGCAGACGACCAAAATCCACTGCTGAGGGGAGCAGCGGGGAGACAGGAGGGGTCTGCTGCGTCCTGTGGGTAGCTCCCTGGCCGGGGATTGAACTGGTGCTGCAGTGGCTGCCGATAGCTCCATAGTGCTGAGACTTAACCCCTGCGCCACCAGGGAGGCCCCTCTGTGCGTTTGTATAATCTCCGGTTGCTGGGGAGGTGGTGCTTCTTACCATCAGGAGATCTTGTCAGTGCTTAGGGGCCTCCGAGGACCTTAACTCGCGCCTGGAAGTAGTGGTTGGCAGGACCGACAGTGCGTAGTAAGTGGCAGCCATGGTGTGATGAATACTGTCGGTAGCTTCCCCCATCTCGCTGCCCCCTGTAATTCTCAGGCTGGGGAAGGCAGCCATTCCTCCAGGGCGACCAGGACCAGAGTGTGGTCACTGCCCAGTTGTGCTGTTACCCACCCCCTCAGCCCAGCTGTGAAAAACAACTTGGGATTCCAAGGAACAGTCATGTTTGTTGTGGGCTCCGGTGTCGGCCTTAAAGGGACAGACCCATTTACGGGAGAGCTGGCGGGAGCCTGGCTTCATGATGAGCCAAGACAGGCAGGAGCCTGACCCGAGAGAACCCGGGCGGGCAGAGCAAGCGACCAGGACAGCAGCTGCGGGGAGAGGCAGGGGACCAAGAGCCTCCCCTGCTCTCCCTGCCAGGTCTGCTCACCTGGAGCTCAGCCATGGCCACAGGTGCCTCCACCAGCTTCCTGCAAAACTAGCCAAGATGGAGCGTCCACCTCAACCAGGCCAACGGGCCCCCAGCTCAGTTTGCTCTACTCGGCACTCCTCTGTGCAGAGATCCACAACCTAAACACCTTCCGGACACCTTCCCCGCACTGGTCTATTCTGGGGTAGGAAGAATCATTTTTTTTATATAGCAACAAAGTTAATCAGAGAGGTCAGGACACTCATCTGAGGTCATACGACTACCAGGGGTGTCTGGGTGACAAGGGTGATGGGGAAGGGACATGAACAACTCCCAGGCTCTGACAGGCACCAGGGATTCGACACGTGTTCTCTCAAAACAGCACAGCAGCAGAACAATTCCGACCTCTTTTTACAAGAAGGAAATGGGCGACTGGAGGGGAAGGGTCAGAGGTGAGCCCAGGGCGGCACCCATTTGCCAGCTTCCTGGGGAGTCTGGCCTGCTCCACGGATATGAGGTCTGCTGTACGGGGGCGTGACCCCAGGGGTGGGAAAAATCCCAGGTCTTACCTGGGCCTGGACCCAACCTGTCCAGACCCTTTGACTCCCAGGAGGCCACCAGACACCCTCCAGTTCTGCCGTGACCCAGACATCCCAGCCCAGGTTGCTCATGGCACCCCTTTGCCCCACGCTGGCTCGTCTTGCTGACCAGGGTGCCCCTGACATCCCCTCACCTGGGATTCAGGTCACCCAGGGCCTTCGTGCTGTCCCCAGATGCCCCGTCCCCTGGGGCTCTGCTCCCTTTGCCCTGTCATAGTGTCCTGGGGGAGATGTGGTGAGGAAAGCTGGGGTCCTGTGGGAGTGAGCTCCCCTCCGTGGTGCACTCACCCAGTGCAGCTCGCAGAGGAGCAGCCTGAGGCAAAGTGACGAAGTGACGGACACACAAGTAGAGGAGGAAGCGCAGTAGGTAAACAGCAGACTGACCCGGCCAGCTCTTCCAGACCAGCGCTGCTCTGCCCGGCTGCCCAGAGGCCTGGGTCTCCTCGGGGAGGACAGAGTGGGAGCAGCACACAGCCCCGACCTGCACCGTGAACCTTTCACACCATTCAGGCGGCCTCCGGGGCAGGGTGGGGACGTGCGTCCGGGGCTGCGGTACTCCTTCAGGACCCCGATCACACTGGTTGGGGGTCAAGCTCTGCTGGGGGCCCTGGGGAAGGGATACCTGGGCCCATCCTTGCTGCCTTCCAGGCCCAGCTGTGCCTCAGGCCAGCCCTGACCTCTTGGGCACCATGGGCTGACTTAGACACATCCTGCCCCTCCCACCCAGATGCTTTCTCCAACATTCCGGGCCTTGGTCCCTTTTGTCCCGCAGGTAGAGTTGGGACGGGACCTTTCAGAGGACACTTGCCTCAAAGTACTTTGTACATGCCCTTTGTGTCCTGCTGCCTTTGGACTGATATGGAATTCAAGTGGGATCCTTGATATGTGAGGGAGCCAGAAAAAGGGCTCAGGCCTGCCAGCCTACCCTGGGCACAGCCTGAGCTCCAGGAGGGAAGTGATAAAGCAGGTGCCAGCTTCCTTAGAATCCAGCCTGGGGATGAAGCAAGGAAGAGCCCACAATAAGGGGAAGCAGACGGGCAGCCAGCGTGTCCCACAGGCTTTCACCAGGTGGGGCCCAGTGCCAGTTGCAGGAAGCAAACCAGGCAACCGATGTGGGCAGGAGCCCTAGCAGGGCATCTGGAGGACTCTCCACTACCTGAGAGTGCCAGCAACTACCTGGCAGCATCAAGGCCTGAGGTGGGGCAAGCCATGGCCCGCTGAGCCCCCCTTAAAGTCTCTGCACAAGGGTTTAGGCTAGGGCCCCGCAAGGGACCCCAGACCTGTCCAGGAAAACATCAGAAATGCAGGGCCTCCCTGGTGGCGCAGGGGTTAAGTCTCAGCACTATGAAGCTGTCCGCAGCCACTGCAGCACGAGTTCCATCCCCAGCCAGGGAGCTACCCACATGGCACAGCAGACCTCTCCTGTCTCCCTGCTGTCCCCTCAGCAGTGGATTTCAGTAGATCCACCTGTCTCTGCTCCCCACCCTGTCTCTGGCGAATCCTCTCACATCCCTCTCCCAGCTCTGGCCTGCACCCTAGCTCTTGTATGCATAAATAAATAAGACTTAAAAAAAAAAAAAAAGACATGCAGAGTGGCTTGACCCTCCAGGGGTCAAGTGCTAATAGTCCCAGGAAGTGGCTGTCACACAAGCTGGGACCCCACTGTGGCATCTGGACGCACTTGTCGGGGGTCACTCGGGACCTAGCCTGGCACTGAAACCTCATGCCTACTTATGAGATCATGGTTCTGGCTCATCCCGATTTCGTGTGCCTGGGTCTTTCCTTCTGGTTTCCCGCTTATCCTCCTGCTGTCGTGAGATGGAGCGGAGACTAAGGGATACGCACGGACACCTGGTCAGCCAGGCAGTCAGCGGGCCACACCCGACAGAGACAGAAACTGCCGCCTCATCCCAAGGCCATCACTGCTGGCTTCTTGGCTGTCTTTACAGTAAAAACCCTCTAGTGTTTTATTTTTCTTTCCATCTCGGTTTACTCCCTAGGTAGGGAGGAACCGACTCGCTCATGTTACAAGGATGGTGCAATCGCATGTTCGCCGCTTGGGTCCTTTGTTCCCTGTGGCTAGAGGCAGTGACTTCCCTAAGCAGAGGGGCTCAGCCCTGATGCTCAAAGCCATGGCATCTCCCGAGGGGAGGCCCTGCAGGTATGCAGTGTCCTGGGGCTGCAGTGGACTGCTGGGTCACTGGGTGGGCCTTCAGCTATACTAGAAACGCCCAACTGTTTCCCCTGGGTGTTTACATCCACCTGTCCTCCCTCCTCCAGGTGGGTGACCAACTCCCGTTGCTCCACTTCCTCAATACCTGGTATTGTCTGACTTTCAGATTTCTGCCAATCTGTGAGTGTACAATGGCACCTCACTTGCATTTTTGATGACTAATATGACGGGGTGCCTCTGCACAGGCTTGGTCAGCAGGTGGCCATCCCTCGCCTGGCTGCCAAGTGGGCCTTTCATTTCCCTGCCTTTTCCTGACTAGGTTCTACCTGTGTACCACACAGCCCTGGGCCATGTCTGTCAGAAATCCCCTTCCCAGCCCGTGTTAATTGGCCAGACGAGCCGATAGCTACTAACTGACTTGAATTTGTCAACTTTTCTTAACTTCTCCCTATGCCGAGATTACAAAAACCTCCTCATATTGTCCCAAATTGTGTATTCAGCATGTCACCGTCCTCACTGCGAGTCCTGGCGGGAAGGCCTACAGAACACGAGCCCCTCGGCACCACTGTGCTGGGGGCAGGAGAGCCACGCCAAGCAAGCACCTACTCAGCTTGCCTCTCACCCTTCCAATTACCTCATTCTCCAAGTGGGGAAACTAAGGCTCAGAAAGGTCAAGAGACATGACCGAGGAACACAGTCCTCCCAGCTACTCTGGTTTTGAGTCACGTTTTGAGGCCAGTCTGGCTACTTCCTACCAGCAAGTTCACAGATAAATCACTCAGCCTCTCTGAGCCCCTGCTGTCCTCACCTGTAAAAAAACAAAAGTACTCATTATTGTAGAAGAAAAAAATGTTAGCAAAGGGGGGCGTCCCTGGTGGCGCAGGGGTTAAGACGCAGCACTATGAAGCTACCTGCAGCCACTGCAGCACGAGTTTCATCCCCGGCCAGGGAGCAACCCACATGGCGCAGCAGACCTCTCCTGTCTCGTCTGCTGCCCCCCTCAGCAGTGTATTTCAGTCGATCTGCCTGTTCTGCTCCCCACACTGTCTCTGGTAAATCCTCTCACCCCCATACCTCTGCCCTGTACCCCAGTTCTTGCGTGCATAAATAAAAAAAGAAATGGTAGCAAAGGTATTGGAGGTGGCCTGGTTGATAGCAAATGTTCCAGAGAACAGGGAAACAACATAACAAAGGTGCAACTCACGCAAGTCCTCCAGCTTTCCACCTGTCTGAGATAGCAGGATAATGGCAGGAGCTCTGCCCCTCCCTTCCCAGGGCCAGGAGAGCACATGCTGATAAGCAGGTGAACTCTCACCCACGTCCAGCCCGCCCTCTTCCTGGTACTCAGACTCCCACTGATTTTCCACCAGGTGCTGCCAGCCCAGCTGCTGACCCAGCGGGCATCCGGAACACCAGGAACGGATCAACCCACGCTGTCTCCCACATTCCTCAGGGATTGAGACATTCCAAGACACCTGCCCGAGGCCTACATGGCTAGGGTGGCTGCCCTTCAGGGTGGGGAGGAAGCACGAGTTTCGATCCGCACTGATAAGGAGTGGGCCAGACCCGGTCGGTCCCTGGGAAAGCGTGCGCTCCCGGCCCACCTGCTGCTCAGCGCACAAAGCCCAGTCACAAAGGCCACTGACTTTATTGATCTAAAAAACTTTACAAAGACAGTGACTGCTCTGCCAGAAAAAGAACCACTTGAAACAGACCAAAGGTGGGAGTGGGGTTGAGGGAAGGGGCCAGGATTCACTCAAAAAAGCTGGTCATGGTGGACGTGACACTGGCAGGGGAAGGAGGAGGGAGATGCATGCAAGAGCAAGAGTCCCCAAAAAGTTACAAGGGTGACGGGAGAGAACTCCCAAAAGACCCTGGAGTACATTGGAGGTGAGTATGGAAACAGCAATCTTTTCCTTTGTGAAGGGTGGGAGGAGTCCCCACTCAGCCGCAAACTTTGGAGACTCAATGTGGGAGCTGGGGATTGGGGGCCCCCCAGAGGGCATCACAAGAAGGCGTCGCACCACTCTCGAAGGCAACCAAAGCAGTCCCGGGACTGCTTGGCGTTGGCACCACATGTGTCCTTCAGCCATTCCCGGAAGAGATCTTCGTCTTTCTTTAGCACCAGAAACTGGCCAAGGACCACGTAGGCCTGCAAAACAAGCAAAGCAAAGGGCATGCTGCTCTGGGGAGTGGACACAAAGGCCACAAAGTGGCCTGTGAAGCACAAAAGCCCAGGAGGCAAGGCAGGCTCTGGTTAGCTCTCCACATCACCTCACCGCTGCCCACCCCACCGGGCAGCCTCCTCTCCTCACCCCCAAAATGCCAGGAAGTACCGCAGCCCTCCCCGGCCCTCCCCTGGTGCACGCGGGAGGTCCACACCTTGTCAAAGCCCCTTTCCTCCAGCTTCTTGCCCAGGACTTCTCCAATCCCGGCCAGGCTCCCCACTGGCTTTTCCCCCATGGGCTCTGCCACGAAGTCCCGGTGCTTTTGGGAGGTGGTCATCTTGCTCAGGCTTGATCTGGGAATCCCAACAAAAGGAAGATTAGGGCTGAACACCCAGCCCCTCCCCAGGGCCCACGCGCAAGCTCCTCTTCACGACAGGCTAAACCAGCCTTTCTAGCAGTTTCCTGCTTTCCCCTAATTTCACCGATGAGAGCTGAGGTCCAAGGTGTCTCTCCCCCACTAGCAAAAGAAATCTCTTCCACTCCCCGCGAGAAATGGACTTTGGACCAGCCCAGGGGAACACTATCCTGCCCGAACAGCGCGCGGCAGTGGGAAGTCCCCGAGCCGGCAGCCGCGGCCCGCCCCGAAGCTGTCACTCCCTCCGTGACCTTGGCTGGGCAGGGAAGCCGCCGACTCTGCCTGGAACGGCTCCCTGGCCCGAAAATCAAATAAAGGGTCTCTCCGTCCCATTCGCCCCTACAGCCCGCCCACCGAGCCCGGGCACAGGCTGCAGCGCGCCCACCCCACGGCCCCGCCCGGACGCCGCCCAGGCCCCGCCCGCCCCGGCCCCGCCCCGCCCGCCCCCGGCCCCGCCCGCCCCGGCCCCGCCCCTCCACGCGCGCCGAGCCCCGCGCCCCGCCCCCGCCCCCGGCCAGGCGCTCTCAAAGGGCGCATCCTCAGACCAGCCACGCGCTGCGGCCCCTCTGCTCCCCTCCTTCCCGAGCCACCTCCGGCCTCCGGCCCGGGCCCTGCTCCGCAGCTCGCGCTCACCGGCAACTCCGGTTCGTGTAACGGCTCCTCCCGCCAGCCGGCTGCTCCCGCCGATACCTCAACCCACTAGAACTTTCTTCAGCTTCCGCTTCCGGGTCACCACAAGAGCCGCCTTAAAAAATTCAAATTGGGCATGTCTAGCCACTTAGAACCATAGAGATGCGGCGCCCGGACCTCCACGTCGCCCTTCGCGGGTGCTGCTTCCCGATCGCTGCGCGGGGAACCGGGCGGCCTCCGATGGTCTCGGTCCTCGGCAGCATTTCCGGCCTCGGGAAGCCCAGGCCCGGAGGGGAAAACTTCATTTGCCGGCTGCCGGGCGCCCGGAACTCAAGCACTCGGCCTTAACCGCCCTGGCGGTGGGAAGAATTAGAGAGACGGACGAGCAGGGGCGGGTGGCCGGAAGGCTTCGAGACGGCGCCGGAAGCAGGGCTCGGGCCGGGGCCGCCTGGTCCTTTTCCCAGCAGGTTGTGGGAATCGGGCGGGGACGGACGCCCCGGAGACGCGCGTCCAGGCCTCTTGACTGAGTTGCGCAGTGAGTCGTGGGCAAGCGGCTCTCAGCGTCGAGCCTGGGGAGCTGGGTCGTCCTGGCAGCGCCCGTGGGAGACGACGGCCTCAGAGTAAGTGCGGGTCCTTCTCCGATGGGCCGGGGGGCGGCAGGGACGGCAGCTGCCGCGGACACCCGGAGTTTCCTCTGGGAACCCTCTGCCTGGGTGCTGCCGGTCTTTCCCTCGTTGGGACTTAAGTCAGAAGTGTAGCCGATGCCGCCTGAACCACAGCGCTGGTCTCCGTGCCGTGCGGTCGTGCTGCGGTTGGGACGTATGATTGTGTCGAGGAAGAGTGTGTCTCACTCCCTCCCCATCGACTGCCAGGACGGTGCTTTCTCTAGAACTCTGTTTCGTTTTTAGGATTCCACCAGCACTTGGGATTAACGTGTTTTTTATGTGCCGTGCACTGCCAGGTGCTTTGCTTACATTATCTCTTTCTCACGACGGCTCTCTGAGCTGGCTGTTGTTTTCCTGAGGCCTGGAGAAGCTGACCAGCTAGGAAATAGCTACGGAAAGGTTTCAGGCGATTAGATGTCAAGTGTTAGGGTACAGATTGAGGGGCCCTCTGGGGCCCCCAAGCTTGAACTCACAAAAAGTACAAACCAAGATAACAGCTGCCATTGTCAGCACCCCACCTGTCTCTCACCCACGCGTCTCTTTCAAGTGTACACGTTTCTCCTTCCCTTGTCTCCTTCTGTGTTCACCAAGTCCCTCGTGCAGGTCGACAGCAGAGAAGCAGAGGAACCCATCTCCATGTGTGTCTCCCTTGAGTCCCCCTACCTTCCCTATTACAAAGCTTCACCTGGGCGCTCAGCTCCACCCCTTACTAGGTGGGGCAGAGAACTTGGAACCTCCCTTTTTTTTTATGTTTATTTATTTATTTATACAAGCACTGGGTACAGTCAGAAGCACGGGAGGGTGAGAGAATTCACCAGAGCCAGAGTGGGGAGCAGAGCAGGCAGAAGGACTGAAGTATACTGCTGAGGGGAGCAGCGGGCAGCAGGAGAGGTCTGCGCACCATGTGGGGCCCTCCGGTGGCCAGGGAGCAGCCAGGGATCAAATCGGCGCTGCAGAGGCTGCGGGCAGCTTCGCAACCCAGCGTTCAACCACTGTGCCACCAGGGAGGCCTGGAACCTCCCCTTTTTATGGAGATGCCTCTGTTGTAAAAGCCCAGATTCTTAACCTGGACACTGTTACTCCTCAGTAAGAGGCCTTGGAAACAGACCTGGAGGCTCAACCTATATCCTCTAAGAAACCTGAGGAGGAATCAGCTGCCCCTGCATCCCTCACAGCCCTGGGACACGACCCAGCATGTCTCAGGCCACCAAGAGAAAGCATGTGGTGAAAGAGGTGCTGGGGGAGCACATGGTGCCCTCTGACCAGCAGCAGATTGTGAGGGTGAGTGGCATCGGGCACAAGCGGCTCTGCTCCCCACCCTCCATACCCATTGGGCCCCTGGGGTGGGGTAGGGCACAGTGCAGCCGACGAGTATTTGAGCTGGCTGACAGGCTGACTGGGTCTTGGTGTCTACTGGACCAGGTACTCAGGACCCCAGGGAACAATCTGCATGAGGTGGAGACAGCCCAGGGGCAGCGCTTCCTGGTGAGCATGCCCTCCAAGTACCGAAAGAACATCTGGATCAAGAGAGGTGAGAGAGGCAGCCCTTCAGGAGACAAACTGTTTCCTGCGTCCTTGGCTTTCCTGGGGCGTTCAGCGCTGACGGTGCCTTTTCTGTCTCCAGGGGACTTTCTCATCGTTGACCCTATTGAAGAAGGAGAGAAGGTGAAGGCTGAGATCTCCTTTGTGCTCTGCAAGGACCATGTGCGCTCTCTGCAGAAGGATGGGCTCTGGTAGGGGGTCCCCGTCATTGTTGGCTGCCTGGCTTCTATGGGGGTTGACCTGAATTGGAGACAGGAAGCTCATTGTGCCCTGGAGAGGGACAACTGGGAAACAGCTGTTGGACTGGTGATCTTGCCATCCTTTCTCACCCAGGCTCTTCTCTTGGCACAGGCCTGAGGCCTTCTCCGAGGTGGCTGAGAAACACAACAGCAACAGGAACAGGTGAGGATTAAGCGCTGGGCCCGGGGAAGTAGAACGTAGGGATTCAGGCTTTGGTGAATCAGTCTCTTCTTCCTGCAGAGGGTCTCAGGTGAGAGGCCTCAGTGGGTGGTATTTGTGATTATGAATATGGCTTGAAAACATGCTCTGGGTTGAAGCCTGGCTTTGCCATTTAAAAACAGTAACTCTGAGCAGGTTGCTTCATCTCTTAATCTCGTAAATGGGCACTTCATGAGAATTCAAGGAAGTAAAAAGGATTAGCGCCAGTAAGTTTGCTTGTTTGTTTCTGGCGCCGACTGTGGCTCCATTGAATTTCTTGGTGGTAATACAATCATGAAACCTGTGGCTTTAGCAAATTTTTGAGATTAGCAGTGGGGGTGTAGTCTCCAGCCTGTTTTCTCTGACCAGCTTCGCCCCCATTTGCTCTGCCTCTTTCCTGTCAGAATTACTGGTTCTTACTGCTTGGCCATATGCGCCTCCTGTCTGGGGGTTTCTTTGGTGGCAGATCTTGGGTGCCGGGTTAACACTTTCCTTCCCACGCCCCTGCAGACAGACTCAGCCGGAACTCCCAGCCGAGCCCCAGTCCTCAGGAGAAGAGTCCAGCTCTGAAGACGATTCTGACCTGTTTGTTAACACCAACCGCAGACAGTATCAGGAGAGTGAGGAGGAGAGCGAAGAGGAGGAGGCAGCCTGAGACCCTGGACCCCACTTCTGTTGCTCAGAGACTAGTCCTTGGCACCTCTGAGCTTGGACATTCCCAGGGTGCTCTGCCGTTCTTCCCCCCCGGATGGGGACAAGGCAGGGCGCCTGCTGAACTGACCTGACCTAGGAGAATTAAACCCCTGGTGGGTGGTGACTAGTGCTGGTGTCGCGTGACTCTCTGGAGGGAGGAGGGACTCGTGCTGACGTTTAATCCTGCTCCTTGGTGGAGACCTCGCGGGCAGCTAGACCGAAGAGGAGGAAGCAGGGGCTGGCTGGAAGCTCTCCTGGGTTCTCTGTGCTGGACACTGAGGAAGTGCCGGGCCCGTGCTGTGCCTCCTTGCATGCATTTAACACCTGGGCGCAGTCTCGGTTCATTGCTGCTTGTCACCGACACTGAGTCAGGATCACAGTACGGGCCCTAGCACACCCCTTCCTCTAGGAGACACTCAGGGAGACTTTCATAGCACCTCAGAGGCTGCCTTCCTGCCGCCTGGGACACAGCAGTACCGGCCCCCAGGCTGCTGTTCACATTCCCTGCTGGGTGGCTCTCAGGCCATCGGCCCTTTACAAACCACATCTTCCCGCCTCTTGAAGTGGTTACCTCGGGTGGACGCTCCCTCTTCGTTGCTGGCATTGACCCAGCCACTGCTCGTGAACAGTTTGCCTTCTGGCTTGGGCTATTCTTCCCCTGCTATGTCCTCACACTTTTCTTTTGGGGAAAACGTTTCTTTGTTTACATGGCATTGTCTACCTCCCGTGAATGAGCCGTGGCGCCTGCTCTCGCATCCCCATCACCACCTCCTCTTCCAGACCTGCCGCCTACGTCCCTAACCACTGCTGCTCCCTGACTTTGCTAGAAATTGTGGCACCTTTGGGATTCAACTATCTCACCTATAGCCTGGCTTTCTTGCTTACTTGCTCAGCTATCCTTCTGCAAACTTTTTCTCTTCAGCCTCCAACCCAGCCTTCCCACGTGCACTGTCCGCCTTTTAACACTTCCCTGTGCAGCCTCCCTTCCACTGTTCGCACCCCTCACCCCGCCTCCCCCATGCTAGTCCCCTGGTAAAGGCCTTATGCTGGGCCGGGCCGATCACCCCCTCTGCCAGTGCCCAGGTAGCAGAGAAAACAGTCAGCCTGGCCCACCAGTTTTACCTCAGACCCCTAACTGCAGACCTGGCACGATCTGCTCTCGGGGGTTATATTTCAGAACTGCTCTCTTGTCTACAGGTTCTCTTGCCCTGCTAGTCACCACAGCCCCTAGGTCACGAATAGTAGCCGCTGTGGGGAACCCTTACCTGCCCCTCTACCAATCCGACAGATCTGCTCATGGGGCTGCCTGTCTTACCGTAATCCAGTGGGACTTAGAGCTTGCTTGTGTTTTTGGAGCCTGTGTCTCCTCCTGTTTCAGAGCTTTAACAAATTTCTGTTACCATCCTCTATTGAAGGTGTTAGCCTCACATCTACTGTAGACTCCCCGTCTGCAACCAGAGAATCTGTCACTGAACTCCACATCCTCCTAGCTACCAATTCCTTTATCTCATTCACTTTCATGTTTTTTCAGTAAGCTTTATATACATATATGTATATATGTGTATATATTTAAAATTATACATACAAAAATAAACTTGAAATGAATTAAAGATACCTCTGTATATCTTTAACTCATCCTGTTTATTTTTTATAGGAGATAGCTAATTTTTCCTAAAAGGGTAGCCTTACTGAATGAATCTTTTCTCAGTGTTTTAAAATATCTTTTAAATAATAAACTAGATTTCTGCATATCTATGGATCTTTTTGAATTTTGAATGTCTGGTCTCTCCCATTGACCTGTGTATATCATGTTTTATGGCATGACTGACAGCTCAGCACCTCACCTCTTCTTTGAAAAAAAACAATTTTTAAAGACTTACTTCTTTATGCATTCAAGAACTGGGCTACAGGGGCCTCCCTGGTGGCGCAGCGGTTGAGCGCTGGGTTGCAAAGCTGCCCGCAGCCTCTGCAGCGCCGGTTCGATCCCCGGCTGCTCCCGGCCACCGGAGGAGGGTCCCACATGGCGCGCAGACCTCTCCTGCCGCCCGCTGCTCCCCTCAGCAGTGTCCTTCGGTCCTTCTGCCTGCTCTGCTCCCCGCTCTGGCTCTGGTGAATTCTCTCACCCTCCCGCGCTTCTGACTGTACCCAGTGCATGTATAAACAAAACAAATAAACAAATAAAAAAATAAAAACATGCCTCTATTAAAAAAAAAAAAGAACTGGGGTACAGGCCAGAGGTGTGGGGGGGTGATAGGATTCACCAGAGACAGAGTGGGGAACAGAACAGGCAGATTGGTGAAATCCACTGCTGAGGGGAGCAGCGGACGAGGCAGGAGAGGTCTGCTGCGTCATGTGGGTTGCTCCCTGGCTGGCCAGGAATGGAACCCACAATGCAGAGGCTGTGGACAGCTTCACAGCACGGCGCTCAACCCCCTGTGCCGCCAGGGAGGCCCTACATTTGCTTTTTTAACCTTTTCATGAGATGCCTTCTTTATTGTTTTCAGTAAGTGGACTTTTGTTCAGGTCAGTAACTTAGAAGAACGCCCTACATCTAGATTTGCGCGGTAGTAGCTGCATGCCTGGGTTTGTTATAGGACAGGGAGAGGGGTAGCCCAAGCCCCGCAAACCTGCCTATTCTAAATGGGTTCTGCCATCCGCCGCATCAACACAAAACATATGACACTTTAATGGGAAGGATCTTTAATAAAAACTAGGAAACAATACAGGTGAGGCAAAGAGTCTAGTTTCTAAATGAAGCACCCAAAGTTACCCATCCCCTCGTGGGTAAAACTCCATCCATATGGGGTCGGCCCAGAGCAAGGCCCCAAAGCCTGCCACAAGTCTAAAGCATCTTCCAGTGGGGACCCACAGAAAAGGGTCACAAACAACCGGACAAGCCCGGAAGGAAAAGAGCAAAATCAACATCCAGATAAAAGCTGCCATTGTCACCTCCCCACGGGTCTCACCCACATCTGTGTCACCCAGTCCACGACCAAAAGACAAGCGCAGTTTCTTCACATGTCTCTCGGCTCCATGCGCCTCCTCCAGGTCTCCTGGCTCCATCCTGCTTCCTTCCTCAGTCTCTTCTTCAGCTTCTCCTCTTCCTGCTCAGCTCCACCCTCCCTTGGGTGGGGCAGGGAACCTGGAACTTCCCCCTTTCCTGGGGACCACCCTGTTACAGGTTTGGGTTAAAGAGTTACGGCAAAAATAGCTGAAATCACTCCTAATTGCATCTCCAGGCGACGAGCACTTAACTAGGCTCAGCACAGGACACGGGGCCCCACAATGGGGGCAGGCTGCTTTGATCACCTGGCTAAAGGGGAAAGTTCTAGGTCATTTCCCTATGAAGGTACAATTTCTCCCTTTTAGCTGCGGAATCTGTGGGACAACCTTAACTGCGAAGGCTGCAGGTCCCCTCGCCGCAGCTGCGTGATCATTTGTATCGAGTTTGGTTTTATTGAGCGTGTGAGAAGCACGTAGGATGTGTAGGATGTATGGAGAGAGCACGGGCGTCCCTGCGCTCGCACAGGTCTGCGAGAAGCACCTCGTCCCTGTGGACTGCCCTAGACCGGCTGAGGGCGGAAAGCTGTGTTTAGCTCCTGGCTCCTCGTCCAGGCACATTTGCAGACGCTACCAGCAGGGGTCACAGCAAGCACATCCAACGGGCAAGGCAGCAACTCGCCGAGGGGGCAGCGCCCCAGCCCCTCGTCCCAGGGAGGACTCCTGCGGGGCCAGGGCAGAGTGAGTTCCACGTGCCCAGAAAAGTCACTTCCCAAGGCGTTCACAGGAACCCCTCCCCGCAGCATATACAAACTAATATGGTCTCTCGCAGCACCTGGAGGGGTGGGGAGCAGCCCTGCAGCCCTGGCCTTTTGTGCTTCAGAGGACCCAGACCCGGGGCAGGGGGCTCACCCCTGCGGTCTTGCTTGCGTCCTCCAGAAACCAGGCTTCAGAAGATGGCAGGAGATTCGGGAGGCCCCGGGGCTTCCCTCGTAGGGTGGGCAGAGGGGGCGAGAACTGGAACTCCATTCTAAAGGGTCTGCTCTCCAGGGACCTCCTCAGCCCTGTTCCACTTGTTCCCCTTCTATTATAGAAGCTGCTGAAGCTTCCAGGCCTCTCACTAGCCTGTTTCCTGAGGCCTCTGAGCACTGTCCTCTCACATGTGGGTCCTAGTCATTGGGCATCTCCCATCATTCAGCGTTTGGCCATCAAGTCAAGGTCTGTTAACGACCCTATTCTTGGTGTGACCACTCAGCTTTGCAGGGAGGAGGGGTGGTTGGCGGGGGCGTGGTTCTGGCAGGGAGGTCCTCCTCTTTCTGGGTCCCCCCTTGCAGTGCAGAGCTTAAAAGTCAAGTATTTTGGAGGCCCTCCAGCCAGTCTCCCCCACTCCCCAAGGCAGAGGGCCCATCGCACAGAGGACAACTTTGCTTCTCAGTGTCCCCTGGAGCAGGTGCCCAGGGGAGGGCAGGCCAGGGTCTGCGGGGCAGGCCATGGGGCCGCTGTGTGGGCAGGCCCGTGTAGTGCAACCACCTCAGGCCGGGTGGGTTCACCGTGGGCGCTTGCAGACACCAGCAAACTAGCACAGCAGGGAGAAAAGCGAGACACAAGAAGGCCCAGGTCCATACCACAGAGGGTGGCTGCTCCGTCCTCCCCCGGGAGGGCGGCGCCTCACTCCAGAGGCCCCCTCACTGCACAGCGCCTCCCTCTGGCTCTCACGCTGGCTCCCCTCAGCATCTGGGTGATGCTGCTCTTTATCCCTTCCTTCTAGGCCCAGGTGTCCTTAATCACCGGCAGAGCGGGACGCAGGTGCCGCCGGAGAGGCTGATGGCAGGAGGGCGAACAAAGCCCGATGACCTCATTTACCCTAACAGGTGACTTGACTTTTCAACTTGTGGGGCCCAAGGGACACCCAGAGAGCTGGCAAGACGTTACTTCTGATGGCCCGGAGGGTGTTTCTAGAGGGGTGAGCATTTGAACCACCAGTGCAGGCGGGACCTGGATTAAAAAAAAAAAATGGGGGCAGGGGAGCAAACCCACTTGTTTGAGCTGGGAGGGCCCCCTCAGACATCATGCCCTGGAGCTGTGAGGCCCAGCCTAGGATTTACACCACCAGCCCCTCTGGAT